ATATTCTTCCTTTGGGCGTTAGGCCATGGCCTATTCCCTCCTTTTGTTTTTGTAAGACACCCTTGAGTGTCCGATGTGCCCGTTCAATGATGCCTTGTCCTTGAGGGTTATATGGAATGCCATGCTTAAGGACAACATCCATTTGTTGACAGAATGTTACAAAAGTTTTGCTGGTGTAAGCAGGACCATTGTCTGTTTTTAATATATTGGGCTTTCCCCAAGCAGCCCAGGCTGCAAGACAATGATTAATAGCATGGGTGGCCCTTTCTCCAGGTTCTGCCGAAGCAAACATAACCTGAGAAGCGGTGTCAACCGAAACATGTACATATTTTTCCGAATTCTGGGATGTGTGTTTGCCAAATATGATTGGGGCGCAGTCCTTTCGGGTTAACGCCAATAGATTGTTGAAGTGAAGAGATCACACAGACCTGCCAATGCCTCTAAAAGCGCCATGGTAAATGGTGCATTGGGCCCATAAGCTGAAACTGCATCCTTGATAGCTTTAAGTTGTTTAATTTCTAAGGGCTCATAATATCCTCCTCCTCCCCTGCCTCCTACTTGTACCGGGAATGCATGGAGACCGGAACACTCAAAGGGAAGCCGCGACCATACCCTCTGGTGGAAGGAACGTCCTCCTCCCTCCCCAGATGGGGGCGCAGAAGGCAACCCAGGAAGTAGCTCTCCCTCTAACCAGGGCGGTGCCATAGGTTGTGGTGGCAGCCCAGGGAGCAACTCCTCTTCCGGCCACGGCGGTGCAGTGGGGCCTGGCGCCCTGAAGGGAGCGACCATGGGTCGCGAACTTGCCAAAGGGCGGAAGGGCTTAAGCTCCTCCCGTAAGGCGGAGTAGCTCGGGCAGGGTGGTGTTTGGTTCCCCTTTTTATCTTCCCGAGCCCTAAGTTCCTCTTTTAACGGTGTAGGAGGGTCATGCTTAGCAAAGACGACCTCCTCTTCTGAGCCTTCCGAATCCGAATCAGAATTAGAGCCCTGAGGGTCCTCCGGAGACCCACAATCGGCAGTGGCTCCGGGCTCCTCTGAGCATTCCGATCGAGCTTTATCAAAAGCCTGTCAGGCTGTATTAGCGAAGCGAAAGCAAAACAGATGCAAAGGGAAAAGAAAAGAAAAAAAAAAAACCAGCGTCCACTCGTGTGGCGCTCAAAATCTGTTAGGTGCGTCCACCCAACCCAGGTGACCCAGTACTCACCTGTCCCAGGAACCGCTGTATCTCACGTAGCTGATCAGGGTGAAGAGAAGAGGCGCTCGCGGCCTTCCGTTGTTATTGGGCCAGGTCCTCCGTCGTACCGCAGGTGACAGCAATCGCACCTCCCGGCCGAAGAGGCACGTCGCTGAGTCTTTTACCTTTTTCCCCGTACGGGCGGCCACGAGATGACCGGAGCTGCGGAAGACAGGAGACCAAACTCGAGCAGGATCAGCTCTCAAACTTTATTACGTACAGCGAACCGGACCTGACAAGGTCCGCCACCCTCGGTGTTGATTCCTCTTCCGCCGTTGGGGGCAGGAACAACCTCTTATAAGGGGAAGCAGTATCCAATCACAGAGAAGCGCGCCTAACAAGCTGATAGGCTAGCGTCACGGGTAACTGGGCAGATATGACAATTTGGCGGGCTTGTTCAGGCCGGGAAGAACCCGGAAGCAGGAAATGGGCGCCATTCATAGGCGGCTTCCCACACATCTCCCTTTCCCAGGCCCTCCTTCATTTCCTCTCTGGTCTCCAAGGTGCAGTTTACAAAGTGACTGAGCCCCCGCTGGCCCTCTGTCCCTATTACCCTCTCCTTCCTCTGCAGTGCGAGCACAGCCAGGGGTGCTGCTGAGTGTGGAGCCTTTGACCCGTGTCCTCTCCAGTCCCCAGCTCATCTCCTGCCAGCATCCCCAGGGCCCATGGTAAGCCTCTCACAAGGCCACACGGAAAAACCATTTACTTTCAGGAGCATCTGCTTCCTCTGCGCGGGCCAGCTGTCCCCATCCTTCCATGCTCTGTTTCTCCCAAACCCTGGGGTTTCAGAATCAGGACTCAGAACGGTTGCAACAGGCTGGAGAGTTGGGTTAAACCCACAGCACAAAAGGAGGCCCCACAAATAGTTGGAAGAGGCTAGCACAGGACAAGAGCCATTCGACTCTGAGTGTGACAGGTGTCCATGGGCTGATGTGGCCACTGCTTAGAAAGTGGTGGGAAACCTGGGCGCCTATTCCAGCCACATCGCTCCCTAGTCAGCAGACAGACATGGAGCCACCATTCCCTCTCAGAGTAACAGCTGCCCAGTCCTCCTCACGGGCCTGGAGTGAGAGCCCAAGAAAACCATGGAACCATGGCCGCCCTGATACATAAACCATTGTTATGGTTTATGTCTGGATGCCCTCCCTCCAAAGCCTTATGTGGTCATGGTGCTTTTTCAGAGATGGCTGAAGCTAGGTGTGTGATGCTGGGATTAAGCACGGGTGATTAGTAAATCACTCCGCTGATTGGTTTGGCACAGTTCTGGCTAGGATTAAAGGTATGAATGCTGCTGTCCTAGGGCAGGCACCCTGCATACAGCATGAGGGACAGAGTCTCGTCTCCTGCCTCTTGTTGCTTTCGGCTATCTTGGGCTGTCAGGAATAGCTGTCCACTGCCATTCACCACCCTGCTTGGAGCCAACCAACTATGGACTGAAACCTCTGTAAACTCTGTGAACGCAATAAACCTTTCCTCCTTTAACTTTGGATACTAGGTATTTTGTCTCAGCAACAAGAGAAAATTAACTGGACAGCTAACTAGATAGCAAAACAAAATTCAGACATGGTTTGTGAGTAGGAAAGATTTTGAGTACTCCTGTCAGGAAAAAAGGAACTTCATTTCCTCAGGCCCCTGGGCAGACAGTGAACCACAGCCTCAGAATGGACAGAACCAAAGTGAAGGGTGTTTGGAGCTGAGGAACGCGGCACGTGGGAAGCCAAGTCAGTGGGAGAAAAGTGGGGAGAGTTTGAACCTGAATGTGAAACACCTAACAAAACATTCTCATGGAGGTCAGATATTTGATATACGGTAACTGTTACTATTTAGGTGAGGAAGGGATAGGACAAATCTGGAGTGATTCTTCTTTGGAAAAACAATGGGAATAATTTTGCCAAGCTTCAATCCCATGATAGATGTGTCCAAGCAGAAGTTTTCAGTTTGACCTAGAGGAAGAAAAAGAATCAGCGTTTGTGGAGTGTAAGCTTCAAGAGGGAGGTATTGTCATCCTCCCCTTGAAGAGGAGACTATGAGAGCTGAGGGGGACGGTCCTCTCCAGTGTCACGCAGCTTCTCACTCAGTGTTCTCAGCGGGAGAAACCACAGGACCGTCTCTCTGGGGGGTTCTTGGGGTGGGGTGGAGGGTCCTGTACCCTAAGGGAGGCCTCACACAGCCATTTACAGCCCTTAGTGGAGTATTCTGAAACTCTACCTCAAGGTCCTCAAAAGTCAGCATCCTCAGGTCTGTCCTTATAATTACATTTCCACGTTGAGCTGAGGGACTGCTTCGGGACACAATCTCTTCTCCTTCCCCCTGAGATCCCTGGAACCCCGGGAGCCCTGGGGACCCAGGAAACCTGTAGGTGGAATCCCACAGGGTGGCGTGCAGACAACCTGAGTAGGTGGGGAAGGTGAGAGGCAAGCATCAAAACCCAGAAGCTGGCTTTTTCATCTGCCCCAGGCCTGGACGCTGGGCATGCCCACAGCAAAGCCCAGCCCTGGGTGGCCAGGGCATAGCTGCAACTCCTGGGAAAAATGGAGGAAGGAAGGGAGGAAGCCTATCAGATCCAGCACAATGCTTTGCACTTAATACATAGTCAGGAAATATTTGTCAAACTTGCTCTTCAGATCAAGAGGCATGAGTACTTTAACTGGGAGCTATAAGTGCTGTGTTAGTCACTTTCTCATTGCTGATATAATACCCAACTCCCACCGTCTAAAGGAGGGCAGGTGAGTTTGGCCCCAGTTTCAGAACTTTGCTGGGCAGGCTCAGCTGCAGGACACAGCAGGGTGTGAGGGCCTGAGTAGAGGAAAACGGCTCATGTCCATGTTGTGGTGGCCAGGAAGCAGAGAAAGGAGCTGGTCACACCTCCAGTGACCTGCTTCCCCATCCACGGCCACCTCTAAGGACAAGTCAGCTGTCAGCTGCTATGGTTCACTCCTCTTCCGAAAGGCCTGCCTGGGACTGCAGAGGCTTTCTTCATATAATCCATAGCATATGTGTAATCTCATTTATTCTCGCAAGAAAATTATTTTATAAGTGAAGAAACTGGAGCCAGCAAGGTTAGGCAGTGTGCCAAGATTACGTGGCAGTGAGGAGGCTCAGCAGTGCCCTTGCCCTGGGCTCTCACTCTCCCAGCGAGGGCATCGCTTGCCTCGTCTCTCCCAAGCCTGGACCTGCACCAGCAGCAGAGCCGCCGCTCTGAGCCTGCATCTCCAGTCCAGTCACATCTCCACCGCCTTGTCCTCCAGATCAGTGCCACGCAGAGCTCTGCCCTAGGTTCCAAGGCCCAGCATATCCCTCGCCTCTGTTGTGGTTAATTTCGCATCCACTTAACTAGGCTGCAAGGTGCTCAGAGATGTCATTACACATTATCCCAGGTGTTTTCCAAGGGTGTTTGGGATTCAGATTAACAACTGATAGAATCAGTAAAGCCAATTGCTGCTCCAGTGTGTGTGAGGACAACCAAAAGGGGATCCAGGGCATCTGTGCCCATGGTGAGCCCTGGGTGCCTTTTTTAGGATCCCTGTTGGGCTGTTAGTTGGACGTGATAATGTTAGGGGCCTTTGTCAGCTCCACGTTTAGTGGCTCTCCAGTTTCACATTACTCTTGCGATGTACATGCAGAGAGCCCACAGTCCCCTCCCCAGGTCTGCCCCAGCTGGACCCCGTCCCCCATCCCGCCCCAACTCTGCATTATGTATAGAGTGAATCACGAGGTAAATATTTCATGAGCAATCTGGGCAGTAAGGGTAACAGGAGAACAAAGATAGCCGCATTAGAAAGGCTGAGGTTGGCAACCTGAGCCAGACCCCCATCCTCCCCGGGGCTGGCTGTGCTCTGGGGGTAGGGGCTCATGGGCGAGGAAGGAGCCTCGGGTGGGCGCCGTCAGGGGGATGGCACAATGGTCGGGCAGTGTGCCCAGCACAAACCATTCGGCCCCCTGCTGCTGATCCACCTCTGCCTTCTGCATCCAGGGGCCTCGGGTGAGTGATACTCAGGCCCCCTCCAATCCTTTCCTGACTCATGTCCCATTATTTCTTCCCTTCTCTTCTTTGGGGTCCCTCCTTCTGCCCTTTCACCTCCATTTAGTGAAGTCCATTCATGCCATTAATCTGCCAGACATTTAATTGGCATGCAGTGAGCAGGTTGGTGCCAGCTGGGTAACAGAATCAGCGAGAGCTACCGTCAGGGTGTAGCTTGTACATGACATGGTCAGACCTGGGTCCTAGAGAGTTCCCTGCTTTTGCGGGAGCTGAGAGCAGCCTAGACACCACTGTGGTAGCCCAGGTGAAAGATGCTGGCAGCTCGGGCCAGGGCAATGCCCATGGTGTTGGAAGGAATCTGATTCCGGGTATTTTTCTCCTGGAGTGACAGGACATTAGAACTGTGCCTTAATCTTTTCCCACCAATTCCACGCCTGTCTTCTCTTCTTCTGGAGAAGCCAATAGCAACGGGAAGGTCTGAGATCCGGGATGAGACAGGGATCCAATTCCAGCTCCAGTGCCCCCTCTGTCTCCTTGGGCCACGAAGCCTCAGCTTCTCAGTTCCGTGGGAAGTTATTATCCCTCTCAGTGTTGTGAGAATTAAGGCCAATAGGTCACACGCGTGAAGAGGCTGGTCCAGGGCCTGGCAGGACTGAGGCAGGCAGGGGAGCGAGAGGGAATTACTCCTGTGGTTTGCTTGTCCTCGCAGACATGGATTTGCAGGCCAACCTGTGGAGCAGCCCTGCACCTTACAGAATGAGGGCGAGGCCCTGAGCAGAGCGCATGTTAGGTGACTTACCCAGGGAGACTCTTAAAGTCTGGCCTGGGGTTGACTGAGAACTCTATGAGACTCACGGGCCCTTGTGACCCTGGCTCTCTATCATTAGTCAAACACTGGCTGATACAGGCTGCCGCCCTTTTCTCCTGGCTGCAGTGGGATGGAACGAGGTGGGGTTCTGTCCCTGGAGTTCTCAGAGTCTTAGAGCTCTCAGCAGACTTGTCTCAGCCCACACCCCATAAAGTCAATCCAACAAATAGGAAAGGAGCTTTGTTCTCGGTGGGGCTGCCCCAGCAAGAACAGAGACCTAGGGATTTAAAATCTGTCTTTAATGTGCATAGAGCAGTCTCAGAGTTACATAAGAAAAAGGAAGCAGGGCAAGTACCAGGGGCTTCCACGGCCAGACGTGCAAGGTGTCGTTGTCCAGAGGTGATCTGGTTCACAATTATCTCAGGACCAGCATCACAGAGCTCTGAAGAAGGCCGCTGCTGTTGCAGGAGAGGCCTGGTCTTGGTTCTCTATCATAAGATGTTCACCTCTATCATAAGATGTTAAACGCATAAGCATGTGTTTAGTTCCTAGAATCCAAGGTAACTGTAGGAGGAAATGACTCAGGAGAACGCACACGGAGAGTAAAGCAAGTAAGAAACACACTGCGGTCAGGTCGGTGCCCAGAGACCCCTTCAGGCTGGCTCCAGAAGCCTCCTGGAATCCTTACACGAGACCTGCAGGCCCTGGCTGGCCAGTGGCTGTGAGGCTGTCCTGAATCTCCAGGATCATCGGTGTTATCAGGGTAGTCCTAAGACAGATCTTGGATGTCTGTTAAAATGCAGATTTCTGGGCCCTGGTCCTCCGCATCCTGGGGTATTCTGACACGGTAGCCTGGGGTGAGGCCCATGAATTTAGATTTGGATCAGCTGCTACTCTAGCGTGGACCCATGAGGGGGGAGACTCCTGCTCTAGCTCATTCTCTGTTCTCTGTCAGCCACTCCAGTGACTCTAAACAGGGTACCCCACAGGCTCCCCCGGGTCTGTCTCTTCTCCACCAGCTTCAAAGTGCTGGTACCATTTTGCTGACCCCTGCCTGGCCACCTGAACTGCAGAATAATCAGCAGAGTCTCTGCACAATGTGGGTGCAGGAGGACCCAGGGCAGTCCTGATCCCCCACCCTGTTCTCTCTGCAGAGAAGCCCCACCCAACCCCCAGACTCCCTGCAGAGGAGGCCGAGCCCCTACAAGGAATTAGAGGCCGCTCTGTGGAGCTGGCCTGCGGCTCTGGGCCTGCCCCCTTGGTGGTCCTCTGGAGCTTCACCCCACTGGGTTCCGTGGTTCCTCGGCCTGTGGCTGTCACAGATGGAGTCACATTCAAGGTGGAGCCTGGGGCCTCAGCTCTGGGCATCGTGAGTCTGCAAAACAGCAGCCTGGTGATGAGGGAGCTGCGGGAGGGTGCCCGGGGCCACTTCCTGTGCCAGGCCCTGCATGCATCTGATGACCAGCTCCATACCACCTACTCCTACTTCACACTGGCCGTGCTGGGTAAGGCACCTTGCCAAGGACATATCTGAACTCCAGACATCTGCATGCGCTTGGCGTCTCTGCATGTGCTTTCCGTCTCTTTGCATGTGCTAGGCTTACAGTCATGGGAGGGGGCCCCCTACAGGGAGTGAGAAGACCTGAGGCTGCAACAGAGAGATGTTCAGGGTCCAGTGAACGGGAGAGCCACGGCCAGCAGGTGTGAGGCCACTGGGCACAGCCAGGAATGGTCAGTGTCTGCAGTAGCAAACTCAGCGTCCCTCCCTCCCTGGCCAGTGCCTGTATCCAAGCCTCAGGTGTGGCTGAGTGACGCATCCCCAGTGGAAGGAGCCTCTGTGATGGCCACATGTACAGTGCGGGAGGGCACAGAGCCCGTGACCTTTGCTTGGCAGCACCAGGCACCCCAGGGCCCTGGGGAGGTCCTGGTGGGAGTCAAGGAACCGATGCTCTGGCTGGACCCAGTCAACCGGACTCACCTTGGCTGGTACATGTGCAGCGCCCGCAATGCTGTCAGCGGGCTGAGCAGTGACAGAGTCTTCCTGGACGTTGTCTGTGAGTCGGGTTGGAAGTGTGGGCACCCCCCTCACCATCCACATTCAGCCCCTGCCATGCCTCAGTGCTCCCCATGTCCCCTCACAGCAGGAGTGCCCCAGTCCACCCTGGCACCCCCATGGCACCAGTGGCAGGTGCTGGGCACACTAGCGCCAGACATGGCTCTGGTACCAGGGTTTCCCCCCAGTGTAAGGTCACGAGCTCCTCTCCCTGGGAAAAGGGCACACATTTATCTTCACAGTTTTACTCATGACTTTGGGAGTGGGCAGAAAGTCAGGCTCTGGGCTGTGTGCGTAGTGCTCTAAGGCATGGTTAGAACCATGGAAAAATAGGGGGGAGAGCATGGCGGGATGAGAGAGGAGCAAGATTGCCCGCAGGCGGAGGCTCAGCCTCATGAGAAAAATGCAGATGTGCGTGATGTAGACCAGGGATAGCAAACCTTTCGGAGCTGGAGTACCCAGACTGCAACCCAAAACCCACCTAGTTATCACAAAGTGCCAGCACTGCCCGTGTGCAATGTTATCTGACACTCAGCTGCCGGGGCAATGCTGGGGTGACTTAGCTCATGCCCCAAGGGAGGGGGGTCTTCATGCCTTCTGCAGCACAAGGACCGTAAGCTGGCACTGCTGGTCTAGATTCCGGAGCTCTCAGGCCCAGTTAACCCGACCTGAGCTGTGCCGGGAACACAACGCACACAACTCTGAGCATCTCGCCTGAAAGAAAAAAGAAAAATGTTGTATCAATGACTCTCACATGGGTGATAGAGAAATAATATGCTGGAAAAATGTGGACGACTAAAGTCGATGATTAAAGTTAGAGCCAATCAATGTTTTTGTTATTGTTTGGCTGGACCTCGATACTTTGGTTAAGATTCAGTTACTGGAAAATTGAAAACACAACGTCTGTGGCTCGCCAACATGAACAGGGCAGCACTGGTTGTAAGGAGCAAGGGCTGGCAGTGCCCTGCTTGGTTGGCAGAAATTGTAAACTGAGGACTGTGAGGAGCCTGACAAACAGCACCATCCTGTGACCCTGGAACCCTAAGAAATGAGGGCTGGCGCAGAGCAGTGGGACCCACAGACTCAGCAATGATCCTGTTAGTGGACGAGGGGATGTGACTGCTGGGTGTGACTGCCTCCCTTGCCCTTCAGATGGCCCGGACAAGCCTGTGGTCACTGTGGAGCCCCTGGGACTCACCGAGGAGGGGTTTTGGGCCAGCGAGAAGGAGGAGGTGACCCTGAGCTGTCTGGCTGCCTCCAACCCTCCTAGTCACTATGTGTGGCTCTGTGACGATACTCAAGTCCACACTGGCCCCACCTACGTCATCGCCAGGGCCAGCCGTGCCCACGCAGGCCTGTACACCTGCCTGGCCCGTAACAGCTATCTGGACACCCGCTCCCAGACCTCTGTCCAGCTCACCATCTACTGTGAGTGCGTGGGCGAGGTGACCTGTGTGCTGCTGGCCCCTGCTACCCGGTGGAGGAGGGGGAGGGGTGCATCTGAAGAACCAAACAGAGCTGCAGGGCTGGGGGAGGGGCGGGGTAGGATGCCCTGACCTTACCTCCCTCCTTCCCAAAGTGGTCATTCCCATGGTGCTTGGACCCAAACTGAGGCACAGAGAAGGGCAGGGCAGTGATAGGCGGCCAGGTGCCCAGGCTAACTTCCATAGGAACTGCTGCCCACCCCTTTAGCCCTCTGCCCTTTACCTGAGACCTCACAATTTTCCTGACCAGCCTCTTGCAGTGACTCAAATCTTTCCCCACCTGCCTACTGGCCCCTGCTTCCCTAGCCTTCGTCCCTGCTCCTGTCTTCACCTGGGAGGGGCTGGGCTGCAGAGCACTGGCCATAGAGCCTGCTCCAGCCCCTCCTCACACGCCTCCCTCCCAGATCCCCCTGCGGGGCAGCCCTCCTGTGCTGTGCTGCCTGCCCCTGCAGCTGTGACCCTGCTCTGCACCTGGCCTGGGGGGCTTCCCACTGCCCAGCTGCAGTGGGAGGGGCCCTATGGGCCTGGGCCTACCTTCCCCAGCAATGCCACCTGGACCCTCACAGCCATCGGGCTCCCCAACGGCAGCGTCTTCACCTGTGTTGGCCAGCACCCGGCCCTGGCACTCCCTGCCCTCTGCAGGGCCACACTCTGTAAGTGGGCACAGGAATGCCAAGGCTCCAACATTCCAGGAAGAGGGGGATAGGGATCAGAGCACCTACAGAGGGGCTCCAGACTGCAGGCTCTAAGACTTGCCCCAAATAAGAGACAGGCAGCACTCAGCCCTCCACTGCCGGGTCTCTGCTTCTTGACCACACTGAGCTCTGTCCATCTCACTTGGGACTTGGAGCCCATGACCCCTTTTTCCTGTCCCCCACCTCCATGGTCACAGGCGCTCACCACCCTTACACTGCTTCTGCCTCCTCTCAGCCTGGGAAGTTTCGGTCTTGGTCAAGACAGAGTTCAAATGCTCTCTCTGCAAAGCCCCACTCTCTCAGCCTTTGAGGACTCCTCTGCCTTTCTCCTCTCCTAGTTTCTCAGTGTCTGTGCCCACCACTGTCCTGCCTCACAGCCTGCCCTTGGTAAAGGATGTGTGAGCATATAGAAGAGTGACAGAGCAATGGGGTTTAAGTGAGTGAAGGAGGGAGGGACAGGTGGCCCATCTGAGCCATGGCTCCTTTCCAGGGGAGCCGCCCCAGAGCCCCACCTGCAGGACCACTGCCACAGTGGGCGACCAGTTCATCCTGCTGAGCTGTGAGTGGCCCGGAGGCGCACCCCCGGCTACACTGAGCTGGTTCGATGCACAGGGGCGGCCCCTGGGAGGCAGCAGCCACTCGCAGGCCTTCCACATGCTGCGGGCCTGGGGCAAGCTGGCCGGCAGAGAGTTCACCTGCCGGGGCTCTCACCCACTCAGGATCCCTGACGTCCAGTGCCAGCTCCAGCTGGGTGAGCGGGGCCAGCCTCTGGGTTTCGGGCCAGGGCCAGAGGATCACCCCTCTGGGACCAGGCTGAGGGCTCTGGAGGGTGTTGGAATGGAAACTGAGTCTGGAGAGGCTGATTCACCTTTTGTCCAAGGCCGCAAGCTTTTTTCATCCATAAAATGAAAGAGATTTGTCTAGGTCAGCGTCCTCTAATAGAAACATAGTGCAAGTTGTATGTGCAATTTAAATTTTTCCATCAGCCACATTTTAAAAAGTGAGAAGCAGGGAATATTTCACTTCACTTAATATATCCCATATAATACAGTTTGATGTGTAATAATAATAATAAAAAACTATTCATGAGCTACTTTACATTTCTTCATCCCTTCTTGAAAATCCAGTGTATTTACAACTATTGCACACCTCCATGTGACTGGCCACATTGCAAGGGACCACTGGTTGGTCACTGGCTGGTGGTGACAGTGTAGGTGGCAGCAGTCTTCACCAGGCGGAAGGCGACTGCTATCCCTCATTTGCATATATTTGCATAAGGTACCTGATTGTATTCTTGACTTACATGAATGGGTCAGGTGTCAGGTCTGTCTGTACAATCTCATACTCTTTATTTGCTTATGATCTGATTTCTCTGCATTCACCTGGTCTGCTATTAACCACAGAAGATAAAATAATACTGAAATTTTTTAAATGTGAGAGAAACAGAAGAAAAGAACTGTCACAAACAAAAATTCTTGCAAAATGATTTACCTCTCAGTCTCCAATGGCTTCATGACTAGCACTTTGTGAGGGACTCTACAGAGGTCCTTAACCCAAAATGTTTCTTTCCCTATTACTCAGAAATTCCATCATAGGAAATTCACTGACACCTGAGAGTCTAGGTCTTTAATAAAGGTTAGTCCATAAAAACCGAGCACCTGCCGCAGCCTGGCACAATGCCCGCAGCCCCCAGGAGGCAGTGGGCCACCAGGGGAAAGAGGCGGGTGCCAGGTGCACAGGAAGTGGGGGAGGGAGACTTGCAGTGAAGCACAAGGCCTGCAGAAGCGGGGCGGGGGGGGGAGGGTTGGTCTGAAGTAGGGGAGAAACCCGAAGAAGACTGCTGTTAGCAGCAATCTGTACAGACTGTGACCCAGCTTGGCACAGACCAGAGTCTGAACCCGAGGACAGGGTGACCCGGCACAAGCTTCACGGTTCTCTGTCTCCTCGCTGCTTTCCCTCCACTACCGGCCGGCACCTTTCCCTCAAGTCTTCCCCCAAGTCACTTGTCAATTGTCCTGTTCCCACAGAGGCCCCGCAGCTGACAGTGGCAGAGCCCAGGGTCTCCGTGCTGGAGGGGGGAGAGGCCTGGCTGGAATGTGCCCTCCACGGCGGGACCCCACCCATCCAGCTCCTCTGGCTGGGACCCCAGGGACAGCAGGTGGAACAGAGCACTTCCAAGTTTGTGCTGCACTCCGAGGGTGCCCAGCTGCGCCTCCAAATCCAAGATGCTGACCCGGCACACCACAGGGGCACCTACCAATGCGTGGCCCACAATGCTGTGGACAATAGCAGCCGGAGTGTGCTGCTGGAGGTCCTCAGTGAGTGACGGGTGGCGGGTTTGTGTGGCAAGGGCAGGGGGGAGATCACCAGCCATAGACAGGCCTAGGGCACCCACAGAAATCCATGGGGTCAGAATCGTCTCCTTGCTCATTTTATGGATGAGGACTCTGGCTTTTCCACGCTGCAGGCTGCCTTCCCGTGGGATGAATCTGGGTGGGTGCCATTACACACACAAGGGGCCTGACCTGCCATTCCCGCCCTCTCTGCCCTCCAGGGTACCCTGTTCCTCCCAACGTCACCATCAGCCGCCTGACCTACCGGCGGCACCGGAGGGAGGTGCAGCTGCAGTGGGCCATCCAGGGTCCCGGCAACCTGACTGGCTTTCTGGTGCAGCAGAGGGCCAGTGTCCCTGGCCCAGGAGCTGGGGCTTGGGAGACTGCAGCTAGTGACATTGAGCCAGAGAGTCGGGACCGGCAGCTGGGGGGCTTGGACCCAGGGGTGCTCTATGCCTTCCGCATCTTGGCCCTGAATCACCGTACTACCGGGCATCCCTCCGAGGTGAAGACACCAGGTGCCAGGCATAGTGCTGGAGAGAGAATCCTGGTGCCCCAAATGACTGCACCCCACTTCACCCCTTCCCCAGGGCATCCTCACTCCATTCCTTTGCTCCTCTCCTCGTGGATGCCCTCAGTCCTCTGTCCTCTTGTCTGCCCTCTTTTCAGGGGCATCTTGTAATCTCTGCTGCTCTTCTCCAGCCTTGCGTGGGCATTACCTGGGATAGAACTCAGACTTGGTTTGAGTCAGAGCAGGGAAGAGGAAGAACAGGGCGCTGGTGATTACCTAAGAAGCAGAGCCCCACTCTGTGCCTTGGTCTTGCCTCCTGGGGTACAGAGGGCTCTAGGTTTCCCGGGGTTTCCTCTCCATCCTGGGGGTTCCTCTTTTGTGCCTACTTCCTTCCAGCAGCAAGCTGTCAAAATAAATAGCTTTCTGCATTTGAGAACACCAGGCAGGCAGCACATGGCTTTGCTTGGGAGACAGCAGACCCCCGGATTCCTGCCCCAACCCCAACCAGTTGAGGGGGAACTGGGCAAGGAGGCCAGCACGTCCTTGTTTAGCCCTTGGCGCCCCAGTTGTCATGGCTCTAAACAGTGTACCCTGTGCTCTTGCCTCCTAGTGGATCCACCCTTCAGCGCCTACCCAGCGGTGCTGGGTGCAGCCGGCACGGGAATGGTGGTAGCAACATTGGCCTCTCTCCTGGTGTTCCAGTACGCGGCTCGGCACCCACAGGTTTTCCCCCGTGAGTGGGAATCTCAAGGGCGGGGCTGCCTGACTCCCTAAGGTGGCCGGATCTAGATGTACTTGGGGAGACTCTAGGGTCTTCCTGAGGTGTGACTCTCTCCCTAGGTCTTTTTTCGGGGCATCGGGGTGGTCCTCAGTAGGACTCGAGCTCCATCTCAGGGGACCACCAGGAAGGGAGGGCCACTCTCTGGGATCCATGTCAGTTGGTGCAGTAATGCTTATTTCCTTTCTGCAGGCCTCAGCCAGTGGCTTGTGCCCATGTGAGTGTGGACGCTCGGGCATTCTGGGGTTCGGGACTTTTCTCTCATGAGAAAGAGAAGCTTGGGGAAGTTCAGCGGCCACTAACTTTGCCACTTCACTCTCAGGGAGCCAAGGCATCAACAGAGGGGTTCAAGGGAAGGCCCCGAGGCACTGGCAAGTAAGCAGGATTCCACCCCAAGAATTATTCCTCTACTGGGAGACCGGTGCTGAGTTTTGTGCCTAAACCCCGAAAACAGCCCTGGATGCCCCCAAGGCGTTTCTCCCATGTCCACCTATGGTCTTTGTAGGTATGGAAATGCCAACCTCCACTCCAAGTTCGGATCCCACACCAGAGTCCACTGATGACCCAGTAAATGTTACCATCACAGTGACTGCGACGCCATGAAGGCAAAGACAAAGGTGTTCAGCAGCTTAGGGAGGGCAGATGGGAGGTAGAGATAACCCTCTGTACCCCTATGTCCCACCGGACTTAAGCCCAAGGTGGCTATGACGCCTTCTCATTTCACCTCAGGCTGTACCTGGTACAAGGACCCCTCTGCAGTGTCCCCTGCGACAAGGCCACAGGAAGCCCTGGCCTAGCTTGGGGATGGCAGACATAGCAAGACAAAGAAGATACGATGGGTAAAGACTTGCTGGGTGTCTGAAGGCAAGCGAAAATGATGGTTCTGGGAATCATCTCTGGTGCTACACAGAAACGAGCGAGCTACTTACAGAAAAAATAAAACACATCTGAGATAAACCAATCATACCCAATGTTCTCACTAGCAGTGGGTTATTTCAGTTGCAACTCTGATTGCGGGACCCCGTTCTAGGTGTGGGCAGGGCAGGGTATGTAGCTGTGTGTTCCCTCCCTCGAGCGGTTCAGGAACTTCGCGGACCCTGCAGTGGTCAGGCCTCAGGAGTCCACGCCAGTCCAGCACAGCAGCACAGAGGTGTTATGGAAGCCACACTCAGCACCCAGCCTGGGGAGCTGCCTGACGGGAACCAGGGCCGTTCCTGTCATACTGTCAACTGCCAGGATGACTCACTGGCTGCATGTGTGCGTCTGAGATCTGGGTGAAACACAAATGAATGCTTGTTCAACTGGTGAGAGTCGGGCCCCAGGGCCGCTCCGCAGGGGACAGGGGACGCAGATGAGGAGAAACAGCAGAGCCAAGGGTGATCTGCCAGCAGCAGGGGACTGGCGCCTGCCAGGAGACAGAAACGAGGCAACCTGAGTCACTTCCTCGGTTCCCACAGACAGAGACTTTATTAGAAAAGAGGTTTCGGCCTCCCTCAGAGCTCTCAGAGCTGGAGCGAGGGTTTAAGGCAGGCTTATTTAAGTTTGGGAAACGAGACACAGAGGGACATGAAAGATCTTGACTTTCTGGTCACAGGAGCCTAGGAATTTTCATTTTGGAGCAGTAAAGCAACTTCTTTTCAGGCATGTGAATTCCTACTCCTGAGTTCATTACCACACGAAGCTCTGGGTCAGTGGTAAAAGTGTGTGACAGGACCTCTTCCGCATGGCTCTGCCTCTCCGAGCTGCCTTCCTCCTTCCCAACAATGCTGTGACCTTGCGAGGCTCCCTCAGCCACTACACAGCCCTGGCCTCAGGATTTTGTCTCCTCAAGCACTCGCCCAAGAGCCTACTCCTTCAGGGCCTTGACAGCTGCAGCCAGCGCGGAGGGGTGAAGGCACTGGGATCCTGGGCAGCCAAAGCGGACTTTTGGGGGAGAATTTTGGGGTAAGATAGCATACCACTCCCATCCCAAACCACAAGGCCACGATACAAACCGAGCATCTGCACAGCTCCATTTCACAGGCCAGGCTATATGGAGAGCAGCATTCTCTTTTAATATAAAATCATATCAATAAAATAAAACCTGTCCAAGCTACATTTAAAATATGTACAATTTCAAACATATTACAACTTCAAGGAGAATAAAACATTTTTCCGTATGATACAAAACATGCATCTCAGAGTCACTGCTTTAAGAGGGCAACACAGGCAAGTTCAGTAAGCGGGATTTCACGGCGGTTTCATAATTGGGATGAGATATGTGACATGATTGCCTGCTATAGATATCGTGATCTACAGAGACTTACTCCTTAAAAACAAAACTCAATAAGCAAAGCCTTCTGAGAGCCCACTTCACAAGATTTAGAACATTGTGATTTGTCCCGAACCTGGTACAGTGCCTATCACCAGCTCATCAGTGCATAAATAAAAGCAAACATCAAGGGCAGATGGTGACATGATGTAACGGGAGTAGGGATTTTAATGCTGATGACAAAGCATCATGTGGAATTCTAGGCCAAGGGACATACAGAGGCCCGGCTGATGTCAGGCCGGGTGGGTGGTGTGAAGATCAGATTCTCTGGTAGGAGGTGGGTGGGTGAGTGGCTGGGGTATCGAGGGGAATATGGTAGGTACTGGAAGATGAAGTACTGAGCAAAGCACTCTGACCAGGTGGGACAGAAGGTAGCCAGGGCCCCAGAGGAACTACACAGCAGAGTCCACGCTGCAGGATGGTTCTATCAGAGAACCTTGCTTCAGGCTTCTGGAAAGAGGTGTGAAAAAATGGAAGGAGTATAAACAGACTCTAGATAAGGCTGGGATTTAGCTCAGTGGCGTAAGCACCTGCCTTGCAAGCATGCAGTCATGAGTTTGATCCCTGGTACAAAACAGACTCCAGATAAACCAGGATCCAACTCAAGCTCTGCGGCTCACTGTGTGAACCACAAGTTTTCACACCTGTGATGCAATTCATTGTGAGGATTAACAAGATCACAGGACCAAGCGCCATGCACAGCGCCCAGTATTCAGTGGTTCCACATCGCTGTGCCCCATGCCATCCAAGGTCCTCTTCCTTCCCAGGGAAGCAATGTTTGGTAGGATTGTTTCTAGTGACCATGCGGGGCATGAAAGTTCAGAGCCTCTCGTGCCTAGGGAGAACTGATACCTCCTAAATATAAAGGCTATTATATATATTTATATTTATATATCTCAATATATAAAGGCATTTTTATAAATAAAATACAGTTAAAAGGGATAACACTTAAAACAGCGTTACTAACAACATAAATAAAGCAGTCCACGAGGAGATTGCCCTAAAGGTAAAAGGCGGCGTTCCCTTCCTCATGGACAAGTCCCACGTTCAAACTCAGTCTTTAAAAGCAGTTTCTGACCTAAGGCTCATGCAAGTCCACCTCTGTCTCATGAGCCAAAATGCTGGCCCATGGATTTTTCCTCCCTGCTTTTCTGAAACTCCCCCCTTGACAGCAATGCCGAAACTGGATGGGGAAACACTGACTGCGTTTTTGTATTTTGTGTACCAAGACTTTGTCCTTTGCTAGTCACAGAAGCAAGGGCTGCAGCCATCCCTCAGGCAAAGCTCCTCACATCTAAACAACAGGAAGAGTAAGCCCCGAGCACCACAGGCTCGGACACCTGGAGTGTAGAACCTGCTTTTATAGCAACCTAACACTGCAGCTGGCTGTGGCCTCAGATCCCCTTCCCTGCACTAGGAGGACTCTGGCATAGAGACCAAGCCTAACTGCACATCTTCACTACCGGTTCTATTTATAAAAGACATAGACACACGTCGGGAGTACTGATGCATTACATAGAAAAGCTGATTAACATAGTATTCCATTATTCTACCCCACTGCAGTTTCTGGGAAAACTAAATTTACTTATTTATGTTGGAACTTCTTCATTCTACCTGAAGAGGATAACTTTTTGTTTCTTTCCCCAAAGGGATACACAATTCAAGAAGGAAGGGTCACTTACACTATGAAAGGCATACAGTGTTGGGTTTCTGCTGTTACTGTTGCTGTCTGTCTGTTTTAATATGGAGCAGAACAGTCTTCCACAGACAGCTGCAATGTTCTTGTCACTCGAGGCAGCAGTGGCTGTGACGCACAAACTCTGCTGACCAAATCTTTAAGTGCTAGGTTACAGCTACTGCATTCAGGAAAAAATCAGGAAATTTCCCTCTAAAACGCCTTTTCCTCTAAATTAAGTCCTTCCTGATACCCTGCTATAGTTTGGATCTTGAGTTTTCCCAGAAAGTTAAAAGCTTGGTCCCCCGATGGTACCCTCTGGAGGTGGTGGGAATTGGCGGGAGGTCTTTGGGTTACTGGGGCCCTGGCCTTGCAGGAGACTCCAAGACCCTAACCCGTTCCTCCTCCTCTCTGCTCCTCAGTGGTGATGCCCGCCTCCTGCCCCACCGTGTGCGACCACCATCATGTGCTACCTTGCTGTGGTCCTAACCAACAAGGTCAGCTGAGCATGGACTGCAGCCTCTCAAACTGCGAGCCAGCACAAACTTATTCTCCGAGTTTACTTTTTGAATCACTTCGTTAGAGTGATAGAAACTGACTCACACACACGCATGCATGTCTTCTGGGCCCATGCTGGAAGGGAAGAAGTAACCGTCCTCAGAGGGGTGGCGCAGGAGCACGCTACTATGGAGTATCAGACTGCAGAGTTTCTGCCAAGAAGGGCCCTTGAACTCTACACTTTTTACTTAAAATACATACCTTCCTCTGCAAGCCAGCACCTTACGGTCTTTTGTTTGTTCCTACTTTTAGGATCAGTCAAAAGGAGCCCCATGAGGACAGTTTTATAAATTAATGTAGTGTTAAAGCAGTGGGACAGTAAAGCCTTGATTCTCCCCTTGGCCTTGAGTCTCTTTCTTTTTTTTTGGTTTTTATCGGTACCAGGGATTGAACTCATGACTGCCTGCTTGCAAGGCAGGTGCTTATGCCGCTGAGCTAAATCCCCAGCCCCTACCTTGAGTCTCTTTCTGCAGACTGCAGTAATCCAGCCAGACCTTTCTCTCACCCAACACCACCAGAAAATTGAACCATGCAAAACAAGGTTGTTTCCTACTGAGAGAGAAAGAAGGACTAGGGAAGGGAAATTTTAAGGCATAAATATAAAAGGACACACATTTTAAGATACATTCACATGAAGTTGCTACTACAAAAAAATAAATAACGATCTTCTGTTATTTGAATTAATGTCCTTTCCACAGTTCATTCCTGGGCCTGTTCTGTGCAGCCACTGGCTAGAGAGGGAACAGGACTTGGTGTCTGCGCGGCCTCAGGTTTCCTGGGGTTGCTGAAGGACCTCTGATGAGCTGTCTAAAGGAATGCCAGGAGGAGAGCACACTGCCATCTTCCCAGGACAGTCTCCTGAAGTGGGTGGCAAACTAAGAGGATTCCAATTTAAACTTTTATTCTCCATTTCTAAATGGCCACAGCTGTCTCCTGAAAAACACAAAGGTTTGGGAACATTATGACATGAAAAAAGTTGACTTTTACACAGCACTCCAGAGACATTACTTTCAGCAATAATAAAAGAAGAGTGAGCAGAAGTACAGTCTGGCTATGCTTGGCTTGAGGTTGAGCAAGACTGATTTAAAATAAAACTGAGCTCTCACGAACAGTTATACAGTCCGTCTGGGATTAAAGCAAACCCCTTATAAGCCCCCAGATAGTCACTCACAGAGGTTACAACTCAGATGTTGAAGGGGCTCATGTTCACAAAATGCAATCTGCCCGCAAGTGCTCTGCTCAGGCGCAAACTGAATCCAAACCTGATCAGATACATTTTCCAAAATGTATGGGATTAATTGTCCGAGATGAAGAATGCACATAATAGCAGAACTGCAAAGCAGCCTTTCTCTGTCCTGTCTCCTAACTCAGTCTCTGAAGAGGAACGTGAGAGCATCATAGAAATCTCCTGGACAGAGTTCTCAGCTAGGTGAAGACTACCCTCGGAGACCGCTCACATTTAAATCCCCTCCCATACCTCTGCTGAACTCCGTGGTATCTTCTGTACAGTCAGAGTTGATGCCATTTACACTGTCCTGACAGCAGGGGTGTGGGGTAGATGCTGGTACCACACCGTCCTTGGTGCTCTCCAGAGGTAACTGGCCACAGTCGGGGACCATGGCAGCCAGACACACGGGCATCTTCATGGCACCGAGGGGCTTCATTTCCAAACCATCCTGAGGGCAGGGTGCTACCACTGGGACCAGAGGAAGGGGGCTGCTGCTGAATGCGCTGTTGGTTTTGGTGAAGCATCTGTGGGGTTTAAACCAAAAGGAAAGAAGTATGTCAAGAGGGCACAATCATTAAGTGAGCTTTTTGAAATACCACTTGGTATTTTGAATTCACAGATTCTTAAGATTGGTGCTTATAAGTAATTCACGATTTGAACCATCAACAACTCGAAAACTGTAGTTAGAATTCAACGCAACAGGAGAATACATCCAAAAGGCAGGTAATTCAGAACAGGCCCTAAATGACACCCCTTCCCACAGGCTTCCTTTTTTTAGTCCACTGTCAGAAGGACTTCCTTTCTCTCCAGTACTGCGGACTGAGCTACATTTCCAGCCCTTAAAAAAAAAAAATTCTAAGACAGGGTCTCATCTCTAAGCAACCCAGGCTTGAGGCAAACTTGCTATCCTCCTGCCTTGGTCTCCCAGGGTGCTGGGATTATAGCCCACATAGCTCCTTCATGCTATTCCTAACTGGCTCCCAAATACAGCACACATGGAAAGACCACTAGCCACTGGAAGGGATGAGGGAGAAAAAGAAGGAAAAGAGAAAAAGCTAAGAAACTCACAGCCACCTGAGAGAAAATGATCTTATGAAAGTCAACAAAAGCCACACAGCTGTGCAATCAGGTACATTCTCCCTCGTCCTTCAAGGAAACATTTTAATGCCCAAAACTCAAGGAGTCTTTTCTTGTCCGGATTGGAGAATTAATTGCTACAAGATTTCACTTCAATTCCAACCTACTCTCATATCCTGTCTTTGGTTAACATGTGCACTTTAATTTTCTTCTGTTCTTTGCGCTGGTTGGTTGTTCTAGTTCACTCACTCTTCTGAGCACTGGTTAATTTTCCAATTCAGTTACTGTTCTTTGTGGAGCTGGAATTTTCATTTGGACTTTTTTTCACTCTGTTTCTCAGCTGGAATTTCCCATATGTTCATTTATTGTGCGTATTTTTTTCCTTTAAACCCCTGAATATAAGAGGTGCTAATGTCATTGCTGGCTCACTCTCAAGGTCTTTTACTGTTGACCTTTCCTTTTTCCCCTTGAGCATCTAGCTTTGCAGATATACAGTCATCTTTTCCTTGTTGGATTTTTCCCTCTAATCCTCTGACCATTCTGTTGTCACTGAACTTGGTCTCCTGACCCTTCTCGCTTGGCCACCGCCTCAAGACTCGAGAGTGCTTGCAGGCAAAACCCCACAAACCCCACGCTGCCCGAAGGGTGAACTCTCGTTCAGTTGCTACCTGTCTGGCAACTTCCCAATACTTTCAAACTGCCCGCATCTTATCATTATTACCCACTGATGATCAAACTATTTCCAGAAGCCAGAGCCTTATAAATACATATTTTATTTCTAAAATTGGGAATAAGAAAAGCTTGAGGATGACACTGGATTGGGCTTTCCATGTTTGATAGAGACCACCAGGAGTGCCTGTGCTGACACTAGGTAATGTCAGGGGGTAAAGAAGTCTTTATTTCCATCCTATACACACGGAATGGTACAGGGGCGGGGGGCTGCAGGGTCAGTGAATGAAGTCCATGCATCTGTCCCTCACGGCTCTACTAATTCGAGTCAATGGAAACACCAAGTGCTAGGAACAAAGACACAGCCTAAAAAAGAATAAGACGTCAGTCAGTAAAATACGTCCTTAACTTAGCTAACTCCAACTTTAATTTCAAATGGAAAAATATACTCACTACATAGTTAATGGAATTCAGATTTCGTCATCTGGAAAGGAAGCAAAGTAGGTGAGGCATTCATTTTTACAGAATGAACACAGTATGGTCAATTATGACTTCACATTTTAATAATACTACAGCAAAAAAATACATATACCCGAGTCAATATGACCTAAGTGTTTCCACGTGTATCTTAACTTTTTATAACTTTTTTTTATCGGTACCAGGGATCGAACTCACGACCGCCTGCTTGCAAGGCAGGTGCTTATGCCGCTGAGCTAAACCCCCAGCCCCTCCACGTGTGTCTTAAGCCAATAAAAAGTGAAGAAAGTACTGGTGTAAAAGAAAGTTTGCTGGAGCCAGAATCAAGAGTATGCACTTCTCATTCATTCTCTTGACCACTGTATTCATTTGGCTGTGAAATTTATTGGTATCTTCCTTTCCTATATATTGTCTTTTATGCTCTCAATTTTCAGGAGAAAAGGAGTTGTGGATTCAATGAATACAACCCACAGACTCTTAAATAAGTTAAAATGTAGGTCAAAGAAAAAATTCTGGATTTAAACTACTATACTTACTGAGTACTGTGATCTATATAAATAATCTTATCCAGGAAAATTATTCATTCAGTGTTTGCTGGATCCTTCCATATGCCAACCACCATGGAAGGTACTGAGAATACAAAGGTAAATACAGCAGAGATCCCGCTCCCAGGCGAGCAAAGGAGATGAACAAGCCCATGGTTACAACATCACATGTGTGACATGACACTGAGGCACTCCAAGATGCCTTAGGGCTATGTGGCCGAGGAGAGCTGGGCATTTCCCATATGTCTAACTAGAGACAGGTGTAAATTCTTCCATTCTCTATCACACTTTATTGTTTCAAATTGCAGCATTTATATTAGATAGCACCTATGGAATTGAAGTACAAGGGGTTCTCTGACTTCAACAGATCAGAAATTTCTCTGGTAAGGGGAATCTATATGTCTGCTGTGATTTGTTGGAATTTCTTAAAAATTAAACTCCTGGCTTCTGATTATGACTGGTTAGTTTGCATCGGAATAGCTACACTGCTAAGAGCAACGAAAGAGATGGAGGATTTTACTGTAAATCTGTGTGAGGTACTAGAGAGCTACCAAAGTACACAGAGGAGACTGAGCTTCTAGAGAGAAGATGAATATGAACTTGAATATCAGCCACACTTTTCTCCTGGAGGCCTACTCTCAGTTTGATGCAGAGTGAAATATTTAGACATCAAGAAGAACACAGAGCTGAAAAGATAGAGCTGGAATTCAGAGCCTGCCAAGGAGAAACGGCCTGTACACACATCGAATTTTTAACAGAAACCTCTGAAAGAAAACAACCTAAAACTAACCATAAAGCAAAAACACCCAGGTCTTTTATAAGGACTGAAACTCAGCATTGGATCCATCCAGTTCCAGACTGGACTGCCTGTCAGTCTGCCTGCCCTCACCCAACTGCCTGTCAAAAGCAAAAATAAATTCTTCCTGGATGAAGGAAACATTCTCTAGAGCCTGTACCAGTTTTTCCACGTAATGTCTAGAACTCAGTAAAAAATTAGCAAGCATTCCAGGAGGAGACACAAGTGATGTAGATACTAAATTGATGAAGACTTTTTAAATCTGGATAAAAATGTTCAATGAAATACATGATTGAATGTTATCTCATAACCAAAACTGAAGGTTAAACATTTGGAAATTCTGAGACTAAAATAACACATTATAAATTCAATACTAAGTGAGGATCAGAGTTGGGTTCAGACATACAGAACTGCTGAAGAAGAATCTGTCACTGCAGATTTCAGGCAGTAGCTCCGGAACATAAAAGGACAGAAAAACAGAACGAAGCTCAAGAGATGGATGAGACACAGGGCAGTGAAAACTATGTCTTTCTGATGGGTAGAAATGAGACAGCAACAGAAACTATACTGGGGGAGAGAAAAGGCTGACTTTTCTAAAACTGATGAACGCTCAAATCACAGATTCAAAGCTCTATGAAACCCAAAATAAATACAAAGATTACTCTTACAAATGCCAATGACTCAATGGCCAGAAGCAAAATACACAAGGAACATCATGAAGGCAGCCAGAGGGAAAAGACCTATGACCCTGAAAAGAGGAGTAGTTGGGCAGATGATTTTCAACAGAAAGGACAGAAGCAATAAAATATTGGAATGGCATCTTTAAACGCTAAAAGGAAATAACTGCCAACCTATAATTCAATAAACAGTAAAGAAAAAATGCTTTAAAAAGAAACATGAAGACATTTTTAGACCAAAAACTGAAACAATGTGTTACCCTCAGACCTGTACCAGAAGAAATACTACAGGAATTCGTTCCAGTTGAAGGAAAATGAGTAGCAAGAGATAGAAGGAAGGAAACACAGAGAAACACGTAGCAACAAAATGTACTACAGAAATTCTGGGCAAATACTGATGTAGATAACTGGAATGTCTTAGAGGATCTTAAATGCTTTTATAATAAAAATGGATAGTAAAACAGAAAAGCCTGGGTTGGAAAGTGCAGTTAAAGTGCTGTCAAGCATCTGTATTGCCTGGGAAGTGGTGAAGTACTCATAATGTTCCACTGGGCTCCGACTAAAGCTATCGCTTCCAGCAGCTGGCGCAGAGTGATGACACACAGCAGACCTCAACTTGTACAGTAACGAACATTAGGATGTCAGACTTCTTCTATACCGCGCTTCTAAACAAGTGCATAAATTATTAGGGAGCAACAATTAAACTAATTAGTCAAAGGATCTCACGACAGCCATACCCAACAGTAAGATGAGACACGCACGTTAAAAGTGAAAACAAACAGATGCACTTACCCTTTGGCTTTTCCTATCACAATAGCATTATCTCTGTCTGTCCTTGCTTAATATCTGTTTTCTGGCTTGATGGTTTCTCTAGTATCTGATAACTCTGAAGTTTTCTTGGCTTCAGTCAGGATCCAGGAGGACAGGTAATGACTGCCCTTGGTGTCACATGAGACTCTTTGGACAGGAGGACAGACAAGTACTTAACGAAATGAAATCTGCCAGTGTAAAGGCGTCAGACACGCTGGGTGAGCCTCTGGCCTAACGGTTTATTTCTCCATGACAATCTGAAGGTACTGTTTGTCATCTGTATTTAAAAGGCAAGTATCAGATCAGAAAGAAAAGGTTCCACTGAAAAGAAGTAAAATTAAGCTGAGAAAAAAATTAAAACATACTTGCCAGAATCTGAAAAGCCAGGGAGGTTCCCTACAAACAAAATATACTAAGTTAGTAATTGTTTATGTAGAGCTAACATCAGTGAATGAATTTCATAAGGTTGATGT